GTACAGTGACTGCACTTTAAAGTTGGGGTTTGGGATATTTACTGTTCAGAGTGACATCTAAACTGTCGTATCTGGGCGTCTCTGCAAAGACAATGATAATGTGAATGATCGTGAAAGTGTTATTATTTTTTCTAGGTGACCCGGTGGGAGACGCCAGTGTGTTACTATATATATATATATATATATATATATATATATATATATATAATATATATATATATATATATATATATATATATATATATATATATTATATATATATATATATATAAATATATATATATATATAATATATATATATATATATATATATATATATATATATATATATATATAATATATATATATATATATATATATATATATTTATATATATATATATATATATATATATATATATATATATATATATATATATATATATATATGTCGTGCCGAATATGTAAAACTGGTCAATTAGGAAGAACTCATTTAAAATTAAGTCCTTTCTAAAATTTTCTCTTGTGCGTTTAAAGATATATTTTTTTCATTAATGTTGATGTAAAAATTTATAATTTTGCACCAAAAGGAACTTAGAAAATTTACCTAACCTTTTTACAACAAGAAAAATTTATTTTAGCCTAACCCAACTAAATATATTTTAGATTTGTTTACAATAATTTAATACTAAACAAACACAGTGAAATATTTTTTTTTTCGTTAGGTTCAGAATGATTTTGGCGAAATTATTGCATACACAAATTTTCACTTGTCCTATATGGCAAGATGAGCGTTGCTATTTAAGCCAAGATCGCAAGTTCTGCCTATTCGGCACGACATATATATATATATATATTATATATATATATATATATATATTATATATATATATATATATATTATTATAATATATATATATATATTATATATATATATATATATATATATATAATATATATATATATATATATATTATATATATATATATATATATATATTTATATATATATATATATTAATCTCGTGCCAAATAGGTAAACTGGTCAATTAACAAGAACTCATTTAAAATTAAGTCTTTTCTAAAATTTTCTCTTATATGTTTAAAGATATATTTTTTCCATTTATGTTAATGTAAAAACTAATTTTGTATCAAAAGACCCCTCAAGGGAAGTTCCTTGATGCTGGTGAGGGGCTCTTGATCTAGGGAATTGGATCTGTACTCCGGTTCCCTGAAGTGAGCCTGAATACCTTCCACCGCCTTCAGTCCCCCATCCCCCCCCCACACAGAGGCGCGACATATATATGTGTGCAAAACAACGACAGAAGGAAATGAATGACAGCTCTAGCCCTTCCGTGTTGCACTCAACACATGAGAAGCTTGCAATGTTGCAGATATGAGTAAGAAGTCAATATAGATTCGTTCAGGTGAACGGTTCTAGCTAGAATCGGGGTAGGACTGCAGTAGTAAAGCAGAAGTAGCAATAGTAGTAGTACCAATAGTATCAGTAATAGTAGCAGTAGTAATAATAGTAGTAGTATAATTATCACAATTGTTTGTATTGTTGTATAACTAAGATGATAAAGTTATCTAGAGCAGAGAGGAGAAATGTGAGTGAGACATGATGCTGTGCACTACATGTAGTGGAGACATGATGCTGTGCACTACATGTAGTAGAGACATGATGCTGTGCGCTACATGTAGTGGAGACATGATGCTGTGCACTACATGTAGTGGAGACATGATGCTGTGCACTACATGTAGTGGAGACATGATGCTGTGCACTACATGTAGTAGAGACATGATGCTGTGCACTACATGTATGGGAGACATGATGCTGTGCACTACATGTAGTGGAGACATGATGCTGTGCACTACATGTAGTGGAGACATGATGCTGTGCACTACATGTAGTGGAGACATGATGCTGTGCAAATACATGTAGTGGAGACATGGGTGCTGTGCACTACATGTAGTGGAGACATGATGCTGTGCACTACATGTAGTGGAGACATGATGCTGTGCACTACATGTAGTGGAGACATGATGCTGTGCACTACATGTAGTGGAGACATGATGCTGTGCACTACATGTAATAGAGACATGATGCTGTGCGCTACATGTAGTGGAGACATGATGCTGTGCACTACATGTAGTGGAGACATGATGCTGTGCACTACATGTAGTGGAGACATGATGCTGTGCACTACATGTAGTAGAGACATGATGCTGTGCACTACATGTAGTGGAGACATGATGCTGTGCACTACATGTAGTGGAGACATGATGCTGTGCACTACATGTAGTGGAGACATGATGCTGTGCACTACATGTAGTGGAGACATGATGCTGTGCACTACATGTAGTGGAGACATGATGCTGTGCACTACATGTAGTGGAGACATGATGCTGTGCACTACATGTAGTGGAGACATGATGCTGTGCACTACATGTAGTGGAGACATGATGCTGTGCACTACATGTAGTGGAGACATGATGCTGTGCACTACATGTAGTAGAGACATGATGCTGTGCACTACATGTAGTAGAGACATGATGCTGTGCGCTACATGTAGTGGAGACATGATGCTGTGCACTACATGTAGTGGAGACATGATGCTGTGCACTACATGTAGTGGAGACATGATGCTGTGCACTACATGTAGTGGAGACATGATGCTGTGCACTACATGTAGTGGAGACATGATGCTGTGCACTACATGTAGTGGAGACATGATGCTGTGCGCTACATGTAGTGGAGACATGATGCTGTGCACTACATGTAGTAGAGACATGATGCTGTGCACTACATGTAGTAGAGACAATGATGCTGTGCACTACATGTAGTGGAGACATGATGCTGTGCACTACATGTAGTGGAGACATGATGCTGTGCACTACATGTAGTGGAGACATGATGCTGTGCACTACATGTAGTGGAGACATGATGCTGTGCGCTACATGTAGTGGAGACATGATGCTGTGCACTACATGTAGTAGAGACATGATGCTGTGCACTACATGTAGTGGAGACATGATGCTGTGCACTACATGTAGTGGAGACATGATGCTGTGCGCTACATGTAGTGGAGACATGATGCTGTGCACTACATGTAGTAGAGACATGATGCTGTGCACTACATGTAGTGGAGACATGATGCTGTGCACTACATGTAGTGGAGACATGATGCTGTGCACTACATGTAGTGGAGACATGATGCTGTGCACTACATGTAGTAGAGACATGATGCTGTGCACTACATGTAGTAGAGACATGATGCTGTGCACTACATGTAGTGGAGACATGATGCTGTGCACTACATGTAGTGGAGACATGATGCTGTGCACTACATGTAGTGGAGACATGATGCTGTGCGCTACATGTAGTGGAGACATGATGCTGTGCACTGCATGTAGTGGAGACATGATGCTGTGCACTACATGTAGTGGAGACATGATGCTGTGCGCTACATGTAGTGGAGACATGATGCTGTGCACTACATGTAGTAGAGACATGATGCTGTGCACTACATGTAGTAGAGACATGATGCTGTGCACTACATGTAGTGGAGACATGATGCTGTGCACTACATGTAGTGGAGACATGATGCTGTGCACTACATGTAGTGGAGACATGATGCTGTGCACTACATGTAGTGGAGACATGATGCTGTGCGCTACATGTAGTGGAGACATGATGCTGTGCACTACATGTAGTGGAGACATGATGCTGTGCACTACATGTAGTGGAGACATGATGCTGTGCACTACATGTAGTGGAGACATGATGCTGTGCACTACATGTAGTGGAGACATGATGCTGTGCACTACATGTAGTGGAGACATGATGCTGTGCACTACATGTAGTGGAGACATGATGCTGTGCACTACATGTAGTGGAGACATGATGCTGTGCACTACATGTAGTGGAGAGACATGATGCTGTGCACTACATGTAGTGGAGAGACATGATGCTGTGCACTACATGTAGTGGAGAGACATGATGCTGTGCACTACATGTAGTGGAGAGACATGATGCTGTGCACTACATGTAGTGGAGAGACATGATGCTGTGCACTACATGTAGTGGAGAGACATGATGCTGTGCACTACATGTAGTGGAGAGACATGATGCTGTGCACTACATGTAGTGGAGAGACATGATCCTGTGCACTACATGTAATGGAGAGACATGATGCTGTGCACTACATGTAGTGGAGAGACATGATGCTGTGCGCTACATGTAGTGGAGAGACATGATGCTGTGCGCTACATGTAGTGGAGAGACATGATGCTGTGCACTACATGTAGTGGAGAGACATGATGCTGTGCGCTACATGTAGTGGAGAGACATGATGCTGTGCACTACATGTAGTGGAGAGACATGATGCTGTGCACTACATGTAGTGGAGAGACATGATGCTGTGCACTACATGTAGTGGAGAGACATGATGCTGTGCACTACATGTAGTGGAGAGACATGATCCTGTGCACTACATGTAGTGGAGAGACATGATGCTGTGCACTACATGTAGTGGAGAGACATGATCCTGTGCACTACATGTAGTGGAGAGACATGATGCTGTGCACTACATGTAGTGGAGAGACATGATGCTGTGCGCTACATGTAGTGGAGAGACATGATGCTGTGCGCTACATGTAGTGGAGAGACATGATGCTGTGCACTACATGTAGTGGAGAGACATGATGCTGTGCGCTACATGTAGTGGAGAGACATGATGCTGTGCGCTACATGTAGTGGAGAGACATGATGCTGTGCACTACATGTAGTGGAGAGACATGATGCTGTGCACTACATGTAGTGGAGAGACATGATGCTGTGCACTACATGTAGTGGAGAGACATGATGCTGTGCACTACATGTAGTGGAGAGACATGATGCTGTGCACTACATGTAGTGGAGAGACATGATGCTGTGCACTACATGTAGTGGAGAGACATGATGCTGTGCACTACATGTAGTGGAGAGACGGAAGATGATACAACATGACTGGTAACTTACCAGTGACGCCTGACTTGTACTTTCCCTCGCATCAACTCTGGTACCATAGGACACGGCAGAGACGGAGTTATGACAGGCCACCATGTACATGCCGAAGGCTGTGACGGAGGTAGCGACCACCCAGCCCACGCCCAGCACAGACAAGACTACGGACCAGCGGGTCCTCCTGCTGCCTACCAGTGTCGCCATCGCCTCACTATAATAATAATAATAATAATAATAATAATAATAATAATAATAATAATAATAATAATAATAATAATAATAATATAATATCTTTATTTACTACAAGTACATGTACAAGGTATACAGGCCTAGCTGACATCAATGACATACTACTATACAGAAAGTCGCTTGTTATGCCGAGCATTTTGGGCAAATTAGGTCAGTTTTGTCCCAGGATGCGACCCACACCAGTCGATTAACACCCAGGTACCCATTTGATACTGATGGGTGAACATGGACAGCAGGTGTAAAGAAGCCTCCAATGTTTCTACCCTCGTGAATATCAAAATGGTATACAATACCGTTAAGTTGGTTGGTTAGACATAAGCAACATTTGGGTAACTTTATTCCGAAACGTTTCGCCTACACAGTAGGCTTCTTCAGTCGAGTACACAAAGTATGCAGGAGAAGTAGAGATGTTAAGACGATGTAATCAGTCCATCACCCTTGAAGATGTAGATTTGAGGTTGTCAGTCCCTCAGTCTGAAGAAGAATTCTGTTTCATAGTCTGGAACAATGTGAAGAACAAGCGACAGTGTGGAGACTTATATACTGTCTCCACACTGTCGGAATAAAGATACCTAAATGTTGCCTATGTGTCTAACTTACCCTTTTTACCCTCGCTGGGAATCGAACCCAGACCCTCGCCGTGTGAAGCGAGAGGTTTAGTGATCAGGCCGCGGTGCACCTGCACTATGTGCAGGAAGAAAGACTATCAGTACAGGTCTCCCAAATGATGTTATGCTCCCAGTAAACAGAATTACTCAGAGGTATAACTGTCAGTTAACTCACCGTGTTCCGCGACCACAAGATGGTTCACGTAAAGGCCATCAATATATCCGTAAGGTTTAATATACCTTTGTAACGTTTAAAAATAAAAGTGATTTCTTAGTATCCAAGTAACTGCAACTTCCAAAATTTTAAGACTTAATTTATTATGTATGACCCGGGGATCCGCTATTACAATAATAGTTATCGGGTTGCTACATATAAAATTAATGAGAATCACTGATTCAGAATAGAAAAACATATGTGCCTTAGTTTGAGTTCTTACTAGTACTTAAATCTAATAAACAAAGCAATTAAGAGTTTTTTCAATATATCAGTCTGTTCTTAGGAGAACTGGGCCTAACGATGACCATCAAATACCCTTGTATCAACAGTATCAGCAAACTTTCCATAAATTCGGATTTTCGATAAATTTCCTAACGAAGATATCAGTATGGAAACTGGACGACTTCGGAGGCAACTGGAAGATGCCAATGTCAGTGTTGAAGAGGCAAAGAAATGGAGATCATTGCTATTTCTGGAGTTTATCGTAAAATTGTATTTTTAGGAATCTCTGCCAAGCTTCTAGTGACACGAAAACTGACGGTGACGACAACGAAATGATCCAAATATGACCAAAAGAAGATGACCGGCATTCAAGTACCAGACCTGCTACCAGAGGTACAACCAGACAAGCGACATTTCCACCACACTGAAGTAACTGACCTCCATATCAACTGCACCAGTGTTCAGTGGGAAGACAACATAGGAGAAAACCTAACAACAAAACTCCAAGGAAACTGACAGGTTTGTAATGACGGTTTTTTCACTCGGTACCAAATGAGGAAATTAAGTGAACATTTAAACATGGCTTAATGGCATTCAAACACCATCTGCTACCAGACGTACAACTGGCGAAGCTTCGTTCCCGACGATACTAACAGTAGCTGATCATCATATTAACTGCACCAGTGTAATGGGAGGGAAAGACAGGAGAAACCGCCAAATCTACAAAACAAGACTCCAAGGAAACTATCACGTTGTAGCGGCGGTTATTTTCCTCAGGACCAAATCGCGGGAAGGAAGTGAATAAACAGCCAAGGATGTTTTTTCAGTAGCTGACCTCTTTATCACTGACCAGCGTACACTGTGAGGGAAACATAAGAGAGAACGCCAAATTTAACAACAAAACTCCAGGGAATCTGTTAGGTTGTAGTGGCTGTTTTTTTCCCTCAGTGCTTATGAAAATAGCTGAAGTATCAGCTCTACGGTCAGGACCAGACAACAACACGACGAAGCTCCGATAAATGGGAATAAGGAGGCTTTGGACGGGTAACGCTATTGATTAAATTTTTTTTTATCCTACCAGGATGGAAAAGAGTTAGAAGTGTGACAGGTGAAGCCAGACTGTGAAGTGAGGAGTGAAGGCGATTTGTGAAGTAAGAAAACAGGAAATCTACTAGTAATTAATGATGGCTGCTAGAGTAGCTACTAGGTCACTGCTAGAGTAGCTACTAGGTCACTGCTAGAGTAGCTACTAGGTCACTGCTAGAGTAGCTACTAGGTCACTGCTAGAGTAGCTACTAGGTCACTGCTAGAGTAGCTACTAGGTCACTGCTAGAGTAGCTACTAGGTCACTGCTAAGAAAACTATAGGCCCTTTTGGATGGGTTTTGGGTTTTTGGGATGAAAGAGCCTGCCCCGAAAACACTGGTCTCTAAGATTTTGGTCACCTTGTGGTTTAGGTATCTGGATTAAGTATTTGGGGGAAAAAAAACTAGGTAAAATTCTAAGGGGGCCCCTGGGGATGGTGGGCATGACACTGGGGGCTATAGGGTCCGAGGGGCCGGGTATTTTACCGGGTCACTGCTATGTCTAGGTCATGCGGGGTTTCTTTACTATTTGCTAGGTACCTTATTTTAAAGTACCGGGTCCTTTTGGTAGTCGGCATGCAGAGACTACTGGCACTGCAAAGGTACCCCTTAGGTCACTTGGGGGGGGAAAAAGTAGAAAGGCCTTTAAGAGATTTCCCCTTAGGTCACTGCTAGAGTAGCTAACCGCTAAATTTTTGGTCCCCTTTGCTATAGGGTATGTAATTTTAAAGGGGTCACTGCTAGGGAAAGGAGAAAACCTGGAGGGAAAGCTATAGGCCGGAAAGGCTAAGGTCCTGCTGGGAAGAAAACCCCTTTTTAGGGTCACCCCCTAAGACTACTAGGTCATGCTAGAGACTACCCAAGGGTCCAACTGCTAGAGTAGTGGTCATGCAGAGTAGTATTTGGCCCTGCTGGTATAAAACACTTAGAAAAATTTAGCTTAAGGTAAGGTAGCAATTTCCTGAAAATACAAACCCTAAGGGGTATGTGGGTATAAGGCATGCTAAGTAGCTACTAGGTCAGCTAGATAGCACATCCGGAAGCTACTGGTCACTGCTGGAAATTAGGCAGTAAGTAGAAAGGTCAAGCTAGGAGCCTGGTCACTGCTAAAAGGTCTGGTCACTGCTAGAGTGCTACAGGCCCGCTAGAGTAGCTACAGGTCAAGCTGGGAAAAAATTTTTTAAAGTAAAAAGGTCACTGTAGATGCATTTTTGAATTGAAAAGGTAGTAGATAGACTGGCAGCAAATAGTCTGGTATTTGGGTAGGAAAGGGATCGGGTGGGCAAAGGTCCATCTAAGTAGCACTGGCCTTTTTAATACCCCCTTTTTAAAATAGTTGATTAAAGGACTTTGAAAATTTACTGGTTCCTCTAAAAAAAGGGGAAAAAAATTTTTTTGGGAAAGTGACTGGGAGGGGTAAATTCCTGGAAAATTTTTGGGGTAACCTTGTTGGCCCCGGGGGAAAAGTTCCTGGGGGTAATTTTAAAGGTAAACCTAGTGACTGGTTTCTGGTGTTTGGTACTTGTTTTAAAAGGCCGCTTTTACTGGCCTGGGTTAATCCTGAAAAAAGGGGCTGGTACGGGGTTTCTAACCCTGTGATTTATTTGGGCCGGAAAAACCGGGGGGTTTTTTGGTTGTTTAACCCCGGGGAAAAGGGCCTGCTGGGAAAAGGCCTGCTGGTAACGGGCCCGGAAAGAAATTCCTGCTGGGGCCCCGCTGATTTTGGGTTTTGGGGGCCCCTGCTGGGTTTAACCGGGGTTACGGGGGGTTTTAGTTAATCCCTTGAACTTTTTTACCGGGAAGGGCTCTTTTTTTAAAACTGGTATTAAAGGAATTTTTTAAAAAAATTAGGGTACTGCTAAACCTTGGGCAAATATTTTTGGGCTGGGAAAGGGCCTGCTGGAACTCGGTACTGGGTACCTTTTCGGGGCCCGGATGAAATGGGTTGGCCTGTAAACCCTTTTAAACCTTTTTTAAAATTCCCCGGGCTAATTTCCCCGGAAAAACCCGTGGGAACCGGCTGCGGGGAAAAACCCGGGTGTAACCGGGGGAAAATGGGTACGGGAGGGGGAGTAATGGGGCAGTTGGGTAATGCTGATTTTTTACCAAAAAGGGTTACCTTTTTCTTTTTCCCAGGGGGGTTTTTAATGGTAGGGTTTCTTTTTTAAAAAAGGGGAAAAATTTTTGTGGTAACCTTAGTTTAATCCTGTTTTAAAACCTGGGTTTTGTCCCGGGTGAAAGGGTTTTTGGGGTTTTTTTGGGGGGTTTTTGGGGTTAAACTGGTGGTTAACTGGCTGTGTTAAAACCGGGGGAAAGGGTTTTTTAACCTGGCTGTGTTAAAAGGTTTTTTTGGGGCTGATGTTCCCCCGGGGGGTTTGTTAAACCCGGCTGTGTTACCCCGTGTTAAGGGGGTTTTTTAACCGGGTTGGTTACCTGGTTATGTTAAGGCTTTTTAACTGTTTTTCTCTTTTAATCTGGTTTTCTGTTAACCCTGGGTGTTAACCCGGCTGAGTTAAGGTTGAACTGGCTTTTTCCCTTTTGGTCCGGCAATTTAAAACCGGGTGTTTTAACCTGGGTTTTTTGGGTCCTGGGGAAATCTGAAAAATGGCTTGCCCCCGGGGTTTAATGGCTTTTTGGTGATTTCCTGGGGAACCCTGTGAAATTTGGGGTTTCCCTTTTTTAAACCTCTGTTTAATGCGGGTTTTAATTGTTTTTAAACCTTTCTTTTAAGGCTTGTTCCGCTGTTTAACCTTTTGGTTAACGGGAGTTTCGAGTAACCTGCTGGTAACTCGGTTTTAAACCTGGAGAAATTATTTTAAGGTTTTTT